AAAAAAAAAAACCTTCTCCTTCATCTTTTACCAGTTTTCTAGGCGATCTAGGCAGATGTTGGGAGGGCCTCCAATGCAAGCAATCTGCTGCCTCCTCTTCCAGTCTGCCAGCTCTTCATCTGTGAGAGTTTTCTGCACATACTCCATCGCTGACAAAAGCCCCGCCAACTCACTCACAATGCTCTGGTTGGAAACCACAACAAAATCAGGAAACATTTCCTAAGACCGTCTCCAATCCCATTCCTTAGTCAGTTCCCAAAATGGAACTTAACAGAAACCGGGCAAGTGCTGCCACAAGATGCCTGTATCCACAGGTGACCGCAATGCCCAGAGGAACTTACTCTTCGCATCTGGTCCAGTGCCGTAAGCATCTGTTCAAGCTGCTGCATCTTCTGCCTAGTCACTGACTGGTTGTTTCCATTCAGATCTTGCATGTCTGTGAAGGAAGGGAAACTCCTTGACTAAGGAAATACTCCTATCTGTAATAACTACATTCCCTGAAGCACCGGTAGCCCCTACCCCCTCGACAGTCCGAACACACCATCAAGACAAATCTTTAAACTCAAGTAACACAAACTCACTTTCTACAGAAGATTCTAAGGTCTCTAATTTTCACTTGCCTCCTTGACTCTTGAGGGTCTTATAGTTGAAATCAAAGTCATCCTGGAGATTCTCTACCACCTTCATTTTCTGTTCTAGATCCTGTTTAAAACAAAACAAAAATAGAAGTAAAAACCATTTCCCTGGGGAGAGAGGAAAAGAAAGCTTCTGAGGGGAATTAAACAAAGCTGAAATCTTCAAAAAAAAGCCACACGCAGGAACCACACACACTTTTGCCAAGAAAAAAGGCTTCCTGCCCCGGCCTGGCCTCACCTGTACTCTCTTCCGAACATCCTGCAGGTGCTGTTCCAGCATCTGCTGCTTCTCCGTCACCACGGCAGCTGTAGGGTGGTTGCCCTGGCCCCCTTGCTGCCAAAAAAGGAGTCAACACACACGTGAACATGTGAAATATAGGGAGAAAGACACCCTTGTCCAATCTTCATCTCACCCCACCTGCCCTTCCTCTTTGGCTTGAGATGCTGCGGCCATCCAGAGGGGAAAGCACCAGTGCCAGGCACTGTAACTGGCAGTGAAGCAGCTGCCAGTGCTCTCCAGGTGCTGCCCACTGTGGGCAAAGGAAGCCCTCACATAGTTTTACCTGTGTTACAGGCTTTTTACCTACAGGTCAGATTAGAAAACTACTCTATGGAGACTATGCACTGTACTAGAAGGCCACATGTTGAGCTAAGACATGGTCCTTGCCTTTAATACATTCTCATCCAAACACTAGAACAACTTAGGAGAGCAGATGATAGACGCTTAATTAAATATGGTACTCATTACATTTCTGTGGGATAATAAAAACTATCCTGCCTGGGGATGAAATTCCATATCAAAACATATTATCTCTAGTGAGGGGAGGTCCTTGAAATAGTCAAATAGCATGTGAAATTTTAAAGTTTTGTCAAAGAAAAGTAATAGCATATCTTCTGACAACAGAGACCATATAAAAGCTGTAGTATGATAGTGTGAGTACAGACATAGGACAGAAATATTTATCAATGGAGCAGAAGAGAGTCCAGAAAAGACATAAAACAGCTAGTTTTCAAAGCTACATGTCCTCAGTCATGTTTGAATTCCTCCTCACTTTCATTTGAGTCATCAAATCCTCCGCCTCTATCCTTTGCAATCTCTTCAATTCATCTGGATTATCAGTGGCTCAGTTCAGGCCCCAACAGTTGATCTTTTTGCCTCCAACTTCTCTCACTTTCAACCCGTCCAACCCATTCTCACACTACCACCAGAATTCTCCAAAAAATGATCTGAACATCTGAACCAAAAAAATAAAACAGCAAACGACCATTAATATACAAGATGACATAACCCAGAAACCACAGCTATGGACATATCCCAAGTAAAATAAGCTACGAGATTCTAAACAGGGAACCAGAGACGTCAATTAGCAAATGAGGACAACTACAAACCAAAAAGAGGGAAAATACTGTGTAGTTATAGAACTTCTAAATGGTGAGAAAGTCAAGAGAGTTGCAAGATAGAATGGACCATTCTAAACTCTGGGAGAAAATTATAAATAACAGG